CCCCCCCCCCCCCCAAGTATTTCGTCAGGCTTTTCTGATGTTTCGCTGGCACTCGTTTAAGCCTTTGACCTGTATGAGTGACGAGCATCTAATTTCTCCTCACAATATCTCCCCTGAATCACACATCAAAGTCGCGAGAATAAAGGAAATGATCACCCTCTAAAGAAGCTATTGACTGTTAAATAAATTCTCCCTGTCAGCAAGTGAGGAAAATGTTTAGAGGAAGTATGGAGAATATGCAAACTGATGTCAGGGTGTAAAGAGTTAAGCCTCTGAACCAAGAGAGGCACTGTAAGAATGAGGTGTTTTGCTTCAGTATTCAGCACAACGACCCGGCCAAGGGCTCGTTCCTCGGAAGTCCCGGCAACTTTACGGGCCCGAACCGACATTCTGTAATTAAAATTTAAAGACTAGAGAAGCAGGCTCTGGCACTCTAACCACTCCATTTTTTTAATTTGCCTGATAGTTTTCTTGTAGAATTTTCAAACCTCTTCAAAGCCCCATCTTCGCAGAAAACAGAACAGCTTTCCGGGGGCTCGTTTAGTTAATAGAACCCTCGAGAAACAGGCCCCAGGTCTCGAACCCAATCCTTTCGATTCGTAGTCTTGCGCGCTTAATGTTAGGCCACCCTTCCACACATAATAGTAAGCCTGTCAACGGTGCCCTAAATATTTTTCTTGTTTTTTTTTTTTTACTTTATTTTGGCCTCTATGTTTCACGCGTCAACGGAAAATATTTATTCTCAAGCTGTGATATCTTTTCTTTTGAAGGGAAATTTTATTTTGTTGTGGAAAACTATGTACTCGCTCTTCCGCGAGCTGCCAAATGAACAACAGATGTATCAAGCCATTGCATCAGTAGGCAACATTTTGCTTAAGCTGGGGGAATTTGGAGGAGAGTTGAACACTAGTGGAGACAAAACCACTGGTCAGCAGTCCAAGAGCGATGATCTGGACCAGTTCATGGACCCACTTCACGTAGCAGAATTTGAAACATCGACATCAAACACGGAAGATGTGTTAAGTACACCTAGCGAAATAACTGTAACGTCAGAACTTGAATCGTCGACTTTAGTAAAGGAAGAACTGATTGATGCCGCCAGGAGCAGTGAATCTTCGCTCAGTAGTCCTGTGAGAAGTGCAGCGGGAGATGACTTTATTCTCGTGGGCAGCGACGAGGGGTTTAGTACACCTGAAGCTGTAACGTGCGAAGAGAATAACACCCAAGATACTTTACACGAGGTTTATAACAAACTGAGTCATAGTGATCCCCTTTCGACAGGTGAAAACTCTAATCAAAGTAGAAATTCTAATGAAAAAGACTTCAAAGGATTGCTTGTTGTCAAAGAAGGCCACTACCCCGAAAGCATTTTTGATGAACGTAAAGGCCCATCAAATGACAGCTCTTCTTCCGGGACGGCAATTGGAAACCAATCACTCCATAGGCATTCATCCGGGACATTAGATACAGACGAATCAAATGACAGACCGTTGTCAGGTGCGTTAGATACTGACCAATCAAACGATAGACTTTCGCCCGGTGCCATCGACCTTCATTGGTCGATTTGTTTTGAACAATTACTGGCTTCTATGTCCACTGAGCCTTATCTTGTCCATTATTTTGACGAGTCTGTTGACGTCGTTCAACGCCTTAAGAAAATGAAAACGGAAGGAATCGGAAGCTTCGTAAACGCTTCGAGGACGAACTTGAATTCAGCAGAATAGAGAGCTATTTGTGGGTGCACTTACAGTATATCTGCTTAAGTTCCCGTGAAATATTTTTTCAAAAATATTTGTAAGTATATAACAGAGTGAAATTAGAAATTATTCAAGGAAACGTTTATTACATAAGGTGAGTGTAAGTACACTGGTTGTCTAGAGAGAAAAATGTACATCTTATTATATGGGTTAGACGGTCACATTGAAGCTTGATCAACAGTTTCTTCATAGAATTTTGCTATTTTGAAATTAGATTTATTGGTCGTTGCAATATCGCGATTTTTCGATGCAGGATCATTGTGAAAATCAAGGCTAATGGTAACTATGATTTCTAATAAGACCAGTCTGGCATCAGTCATGAAATAGGACGAATAAGGCGGTTTAGTCAATGTCAACAGTCCTGTGAATTATTTCTCAGTAGGAACAATTGGCAGGGCTTTATCACGCAGATTGTTCTGGGTTGGGTTGCTTCAAGAGTGACTGGCCACATCTAAGGAATTAAGCGTCTAATTTGTGTATTTAAAATGATGCTCAGGCATGGTAAAGGACAGCTATCGGGGCGCAAAACACATTGTTTGTGTGTGTGTTTCATTCCTTCATCAATGAGGTCTTTGTGGCTGCCGAACGATGCGTGACACTCGCACCATTTCGTTTCCAAATCAGTTTCGCTCACCAAAATGTTCCTATAATGCAATTTTTGATTGATTGCCTTACAGCCAAGTTATCACATTGGCCAATTAGACCTAAGGGAATTATCTCAAAAAGCCAATGGCATCTGAAAGTAAAATGAACCGAACTACTGAAGCGCGGGAAAACGCGAGCGACCAAGTCGCGATTGGTTTTGGTCTAACATCTGATTGGTTAAGAGACGGGCGCGAGTTTGCCCATCACAGAGCCTCCTAGTGAAAACCAACGCACCCTGGATTGCTTGCTAAAGTTGGTCTAACGTGAAAGCATTGTTCCATGATTTGAGGAGGTGATGTGATCAGGACTTTTTTATAACGGTGCAAATACTTCAACCATATACAGCCGATACTACCGACGAAAAAGACTAAAAAATCAAAACAAAACAACCACAACCACAACCAAAGCAAAAAAAAAAAAACACAAGTAAAGAATTCATCGTTTTTCTTTCATTAAATTCAACTATCCCATAAACCATTTAAAGTCTGTTTCAGTTGTTGTCTTCTCCTTTGGACGGAAGTCGTTCCACTGTGAGTCCTTTCCAGTAAATACAGTTTGAATATAACATTCTTATTATTTTTGAAATGTACTTAAATAAATTTGCTTTGTTAGAGGTGCTAGGAAAAACACACTAATTAAGCGAGTAATCGAGGAAAGAGGCAAATTGGGTGCTAAGATTTGTTACAATTGTCATTAATTTGATATTTATGATAGTTTCAAATTAAACTAATTAATGGGGTTGACAATTAAAGGGCGTGTATCTTACGTGCTGGTGTAATTTGTTCATGATCCCAATGTTTAACTAAGCGCGATGTGATTTTGTTTAACACACTGGAGTATTAGTGTCCAAAATAGGTGGCAAGTTTTCCTTAATCTCAGAAAGAAATAAAGGTCCTAAACTTGTTATCAAGCCTTTTAAGCTGGCAGTTCAAGCGTCATTTTTGATGTAGGGTGACAAGACAAGGAGAGTGACAAAAGGGAAAGGCGGTGGGGAAACACCCTTCCCTTCTCTCATCCACATTGGTAGAATTTAATTGTTCATCCCAATTCTTTCTGCTTAAAAAAGTCAGCCAAACGTTTTTGCTACCAGTTCCCCCTTTTTTGGCGAAGTCCGTCGCGCGGTAGAAATTGTTGTTGACGCGCAGCGCGGAACTCTGGGAGAAAGGCGCACGCTCTTCCTTCTTTCGCTGTTTTTCTTTTTTTTTTAACTCGTATGATGGAGGGATGGCTAGTAGTCTTCTAGAAGTAGAAGTTGCGAATATAACTTCGAAGAGCGTTTTCGGAGAGGAAAGTGGGCCCAATCGTTGAAATAAAATAAAATTTTTTGGCCGTAATCTCGACAGAGGCTACGGTAAGCTCTTCAAACACACAGTCACGCCAAAGGAAAGGCTAATTCTCACAGAAGTTTGAACTCATACCTGCCAACAATAAGTTCACCTCATTTTTAATCGTTTTGCTATCATCTTACATGTCCTCACAGTACGTCAAATCATTTGAAGTGGCTGTACACATATTCAAAAATTTAGGCGGCTTCTCGCTCATTTCTCTCAGATAAGACTTTACACCGAGAGTTACTCCTGATCTTTTTGTTTTAACTTCATTCTCAAGTCCTCTATATCTTTCCTTTGAACTTCTTTGAGTCTTTGCTGTTGTTCTTTTGCTTTCTTTTTATTGATCTCGTTTTCAACCGCGAAAATCCACTTGTTTTGTTCTTTAGAGACGTATCTATCTTTAAGAATCGCCAAAAATACCCCTCCACTTGTACGCCTATGAAAAACAAAGTAAAAGGTCAGAGTTGCAGAGTTACCAGATTTTTTACCACATTCCTTTGAGAACAGATTTCAACACAAGACTTGGGTTTAACCCCATCATTCCAAAGATCACATCCTCAGTGTCTGTTCTAATGATGTTAGTTAGGATAATTAAGTATAGGAAAACCAAAAATCATCTAATCAATATTTTTCTTCATTCTCATCACTCGTCTGCTTGATTTTGTATTGATATTGTGAGGAGAAATTCTGTCTTGGTTGCTCATGGGAGTTTAAGGGTTGGCTGATATAATTAACTACGCGTGTAATGATGAAACTGTTGTTTATTCCAACTGAAGACAGACTACAAAACAAAAACTGATACTAATTTAGAAAGACCTAAATACAAAATGGGTACCTACTAATAAAGAAATTAAATAGTGGGGGAAATGCCTGAAGGAACTTTGAGACAGTAAACAATGCAGCCCTCATCCAAGGAACAGTCTTGGAGCTAACAAAAGTGTCCCTACTATTTCCCTTCACGTAAAAGTGTCCCTACAAAGTTCCTTCACGAAAAAGAGTCCCTGTAATGTCCCTTCCTGGAAAAGTGTCCCTACAATGTCCCTTCATGGACAAGTGTCCCTTCATGGAAAAGTGTCCCTACATTGTCCCTTCACAGGAAAGTGTCTCTACTATGCCCCTTTGTGGGAGAAGTTCCATTCAATTTCCCTTTGAGGAAAAAAACATATAGCACTTTGATTGAATTGCAGGAAATATTACATTTAATTGACTGTCTTGAAACAGTGACATAGAAGGAAAAAAAACCTGAGTAACACACAAGAGTTGGGTTCAAAATAAACTAATGGCTTTAAAGGAGACTGAGAGTGATTTTTTGCTGCTGCACATGATACATATGACTGGCAAATAGTTTACCTTCGCTGATTGTCCTTTGTCCACATCCCTCCATGCAGTTGAACCTCTTTTGTGTCTCTAAACAGCTTGAGTGCTTTTTCACAACCAATGCAACTGACAACTCGCTGAATGAGATTTGTTTTTGTCTGTTGTAAAAATGCAAAAGACAAAATACACTGAGCCAGGTTTACACCTAGTTCATCATATTACAGAATAGCCTGTAAGCAAGATCAGGCAGGCTCTCTAACAGGACTCTCAGACTTTCATTTAGAGAACACATAACACAGGAACTAGAAAAGTTTTCCCTCAATAAAAGTGTAACTTCAATGAGGGTTCATGTAATTAGTACAAAGGTTTTTGAGGAACTTTTTACAAGAGGAACTTAAGTTTTTCACCAATGTCTAGGACTAAATGCAAGTATCATGTGGAGTGTACTTCATACAATTTCATATCCTGAATGGTTTCGTATGCCCTCATATTTGTTATCATTATATTACTTTATTTCTATGGTCAGTCCTGGATATATCTCAAGTCTATTTACAAGTAGCTTGAATGAAGGTGTCCTTGAAAAAAACTGCACTAAAGGAGAGGTACTATGGTGAAAATTAAGCTAGCCAAGCCTAGAAAGATACATAGGTTCGTGATCTAAAGACAGAAGATATTCTTGTTTGCATGAAAAAATTTGCTTTCTGATCAAAAATCTTGGTTGTAACATAGACTTTTGGAACTTAGTCAAGATTTGTTCTAAAAAGCATAGAAAACACAATAACTTTTGTTTTAAGAAGGATAATTTAATCTAAGAACACCTTGCTCATGATAAATTGAATTGATTTTGAACCTCTTTGTAGTCCTGTTAAAACACTAACAGCACTAACTGAATCATTTACAACTACAGCACTTACTTCATTTAGTTTCCATGCTATTTCTTTAGCAACAACCTCTTCAGAATCTTCTGCAGTAACTTTTAAGGGCTGAAACAAATTCCCTAACTTTGGGTCCTCCTGGGTATCACTTCTATGATGCCGTCCTCCATCATAATGGTTACCAACAGGTCTTTTCCGTTTCTTTTTACCTCCTCTTGTTTTCACTCGTTCACCATCTACAAAATGTACAAAGACATGCCCTCAATCAAGCACACTATGATGGTATTGTAAAAAATATTGGTGATTGTGAAGCACAGCTCTCCTCCACTATTCCTTGATCACCTCTCAGCTAAGAGATCAGCAACAGGCTTAACCCTTGAACCCTAAGAGTGCCTTGCATCTAATTTCTCCTTACAATATCATCCCTGAGTCACACATTAAGGCCAGGAGAATAAAGGAAATGGTCACTAACCAAAGAAGCTCTTGATTGTTAAACAAATTCTTCTTGTCAATAACATAGGAAATGTATAAAAAAAAGTATGGAGAATATACTCATTGATCCTAAGTTGTAAAGTGTTCAATGGTTTAACAAAACAGATCTGGCCAGCTCAGAACAGAGATACTAATAACATCCTCTCCATTCAAGTCTCTCCTCACAATTATAGGGCCAGAAAATTGGACATACATAATGCAAAATAAAACAAATGTTGCCAATACAAGCATCTGCTCACCTTTAACACCCTAGAATCAGTATGCATATTCTCCAAACTGCATTCAATACATTTCCTAAAGTGCTAACAAGGAGAATTTGGTTTAACAATCAAGAGCTTCTTTAATTGGCAATCATTTACTTGATTCTCTTGACCTTAATGTGTGATTTAGAGGTGATATTGTAAGGAGAAGTTAGATGCTAGTCACGTTTTAAGTGTCAAAGGGTTAATAAAGAAATTCCATGGATATAAAATTTTCTCGATTTCTACTGTTTTCAAACCAGGATAATTAGCAAACTATTGGAGAGACCAAGAGATTAAATTTTTACTTA